GTATTTTTGCATTAGTGGAGAGTTCCAAAAGTCTAAAAATCTAGAATTTGGCATTAACTCATAATCCAGTTTAGTGTAGATTTCATCATTCTAATTACAAAATTTATTAATATTTTTATGTAGATATTAATAATTAATTTAGATACATATTTTTTTGAATTCGGACAATAAAAATTAAATGTTAATATTTTGATTTATTGTTAATGGTAACTAATATATATGGAGGGAAAAAGAGAGAGTGGACGGGAGAGGTCTCACTCTCAATTAAAGAGATCAACATGCAAGGACTCCTCAGCACGTGCTCTTTGATTGGTCCAAACCCCAAGTAGGAATGTGTTGGCCCCCCAAACGCGTTGTTCGTCCCTTGCCCTGGTGGTCCCATAATTTTGGAACTTCTTGTCTGCTTCTGGTCTAGATTTAGAACCAAAAACTAGAAAACCAAAAACTAGAAAAATTGGAACTTTTGGGCCTTTGAAACTCCACTAAAGAGCTTTGAGTCCAAATTTTTGAACTTTTAGAACAACACTAAAGATGGTCTAAGCTCTTCAAAATATTGCAAGAAGAGTACCACGTGTCATTAGCAAAAATATCCTACACCTACAACATGAATTGAATTAAGGAAACTCAAAAGGTAAAGCAAATAATCTGCCTACAGCATGTCCTTCCAATGAAAATTCTACTACCAATATCAACCTTGATTTGCTTTTGTTTAATAGCGGAAAAGATTCAGGAAGCATATGGTTCTGTTTTAGCAGGAAATTAAAAAAAAAAAGGATGGAATTTGCTTATATGATCATAATGAATCGGAGTATTTAGTGACATTGTTATACCATAGTCTTGGAAGTTCATGAAGCATATTGCTTTCCGACTTCACTTAGAGTACTTGGTGAACCTAAGTGAAGAAGAATATGGTTCTGTTTTAGTAGAAGAATATTCTTTGACGTGAGGCTTGAAAATTACTTGCATTTAGGTAAAAGTTAATTGATGCATTGTTATCATTTATGTATAATAAACAAGATTGTCAACTCGATTTACCTCATTGATCCGGTCGAGCAAGTGAGTGGAGGACTAATGGGTTAATCGGATTAGCCCGATCTAGCCCGGTTTTACACATTATAAAAGATGTGGATATATAATGTAATAATTTAATATTTCAAAGATGAAAATATTATTTAATTTGAAGTACCATTCAGTAAATTTTCACTTTATCTACCAAACCCTTCATCCCTTCCCAATTTTCAAACGAGCAAAGATTCCTCTCTTCCAATTTTCCTATCTCCCTCCGGTCGTAAGATCTCTCAGATCTCACCGCCTCAAACGAAATTCAACTCACGGACTTGAAGTTTGCACAGGAACATAATATCTTGTACTTTAATCAACTATTAATAGTGGGGGTCTGTTTCGTTGCGAAACCAAATATCCACCGTCGGTGCCGAATTTGTTCGGGCAATGTTGATTTGATTGTTTCGTGGTGGAAACTCTTGCGGTGTCGTATGATCAGATGCACCACTGATTGCTGAAATCAAGACGACCGTCAAATATCCACCGGTTGGTGTTGATTTGATCGGTGCAACTCTGACTTCTGAAAACGAAGACGATCGTCAAATATCCACCACGCGGTGTTGATTTGATCGATGCACCTCTGACTTCTGAAAACCAAGACGATTGTTACTCGGTTCACACCTCTACAAACAATGTTCAAACGAGGGTGTTTGAATTTTTGAGGAATCTACGTGAAAACTACTCCTATGGAGATTCCTGTGGAGAGCTCCGCGACTATGACTACTGCTATGACTATGGAGATCCCTCCTAGAAGGAGAGCTCCGCGAAGGATTTACAGAGAAAAAGGTAAAGTTTTGACAGAGTTGTTCTGTGTTGATGTTTTTGGCTCCTACTCTCTCTCCTTGCACGGTTGGTTTTATCAACATCTTTGTAGTCTTCAAGTAACTGCTCCGTCTTTGTCTCTTAGATTCTCCCTTCCTCTCAACCGTGCGGTAACTTCCACCTTGTTGCGTAACTCCCACGAGTGCAAAACTACTTGGTCACGCGGGAACTTGGCCAAACGACATTGAGCCAAAATCCATAATTCTCCACCACGGTTCGATCCTCCGAACAACCTTGTCCACAGAATAAACAACGACGCTTTTCTCCCCTAAACAATGTTGCTCCTTTTCACAAAATCTCAAGCTCGTCGAGTCTGTGGCATTGTCAAACACACGCCATTGCTGAACTCTCGCCACCGCGGCGTTGTTTTAAGCTAAACAACGTCGCTTCCTATCCTCGCGGTGTCGTTGGATCTTTGCGACACTGTTGGGCTGATCTCCCAACGTTGCACTCCACGAAACAATGTCATTTTCTACTACAACGACATCGTTTATGTGCAATTTCTCGCGACATTGTTTTTACTAAACATTGTCGTTTTCTAATCTGCGGTGTTGTTGCTACCTCTCGCGGCGTCGTTTTCAACTAAACGACATCGTCCAAAATAATCATAAAACACTAATTAAGAAAACCAGCCATCATTATTGACACACCGTCAAACTCTCACCCCTCTGTGCCGTTTTTAGTTAACCAACATCGTTTTCTAGTCCTGCGATGTTGTTGAGCTTCGCGACACCTTTAATCTTTTTGCGACTTCGTTTTTCACTAATCAATGCCGGCCTTGTCGAATTTACAACCACAACTCAATTGCTTCGGCCTGGTTTGACCAGCGACATCGTTAGTCGACCTTGTTGTCCATCAAACAGGGTCGTTTTTCATTCCGCGACACTATTCGGCCTCACGCGACATCGTTTAATTTGCAACCTCGCTAGCTTCATAAAAGCCGGCACCACTTGACATCATTGTTCAGGTCGCGATGTTGCGACTTTGCTTCACTTCAGTTCACGACGACATCGAGCTCTTGAACTGAACTCTAGCCACACAACTTTGATTTTTTATTAAACAACATCGTTTTTAGTGTCGCGGCAGTGTTGAACTTGCCTTATTGAAAACTCGGCTATCGCGACACTGTTCTATACCAAACAACGTCGTTTTCTAGTCTAGCAGTGTCATTGGGCTTTGACTTCTCGGCATTGTTTGTTTTACTAAACAACACCTTTTTTTACTCCCTTGCTTGTGATTGACAAATAATTCGTCTGCTAATCTGAGTCTTGCTAGTATCATAGTCAATCTTTTTTTCGTCTTTACTCTCACCTACCATATGTATGCCTCACTCTGATGAAACAATTGCTCGTTGTCATTAAGTGATGACATGATATACACATGTTTTTATCCACCATTCTTATGCCGTTTGAGCCTCATTTCTCGTATCTTAGGCCAATTTCAGGCTAGGTTATTCTCGTTTGTGTTATTTCAGGTCCTAGTAAGTGATTGGAGGTTTGGGAGCGAGTTTCGGGTCTATTGGACGAAAGTTGGACGTCTGGCGAGGAGCTGAGGAATCCACACGGCCAGACCTTGCAGCCACACGGCCGTGTGGTGTGGCCGTGTGGAATCCCATTACGCGTCCAAGCCACACTGGTCGTGTATGGGACCCCTTGTGGCCGTGTGGAAAGTCCAGGGAGCTGAGACGACCAGACTGGAAATCCACACGGCCGTGTACTTCTGGCCGTGCAGCGTGCCTGAAGACGACTAAGTGAAACGCGACATTTTGAAACTCACACGGGCATACTGGAAAGCTACACGGCCGTGTGGTCGGGAAATCGATTTTATGGAGCAAAAATAGATCCCTGGAGAGAGAAAGTGCGAAGAACGCCCCCTAAGAGTGGTTTTGGAGCTGGGTTTCATCAATCAAGCTTGAAAATCATCCTTGGAGTGAAAATCATCATCCCGTAGCAGATTCTTCCCATCTTGATGAGTATGACTGCTTTGTTTGTTGTTTTCCTCTCTCTCTATGGAGTAGAACCCTCTCTCACTTGTGTATGAAGAACCCTAGTTCTATGTGTTAGGGATCATTGTTGTAACGACGTTTGGATTGTGATATTGTTTGATTATAATCGATTGAAGTGTTTTTGATTGAGTCAATTGAAGACTGATCATCTTTTATTGATTTCTGTTGTAACCTGAGATAGCTAGAATCTGATTAGGTTGTTAGAGCATCTTCAATCAGTAGTAGTGAATTGATTATACAAGAGTTAGTAGATTCACTGCTTTGTACTGGAACTCAGTTCCAGTAGGGGGGTTCTGTGTTCATAGCCTCAGCTTTCTATCCCAGTGAAGACTAGTCGTCTGTCGGTAGTTTGACTGAGAGGGCTTGGTCAGCTTAAGAGATTTCAAGCTACTTTCGGATCTTCCGCAGTATAATTAACAGTGAAGCAACCAAAATTAATTACAACTGTGACCTAACTAAGGAGCTAGGGGGACTCATTCCCGAGTGACTCTTCCCTTGCTTTAGAAAACCGAATCATTTCCTGCTTTCTTACTGTTTTATTTAAAATTAACAACCACTCGAATTAGTTTGCTAGATAATAGATAATCACGGAGTAGGCAATAGATCTAGACCCCGGGTTGACAAATAGAGCTTGCCACTTGACTGCATTTCCGGACTGCGATTACACTTGGTCGTAATCTGGTGTTGTGTTTTAGCTTGTCAAGTTTTTGGCGCCGTTGCCGGGGAACTCTAGGCTATTGTAGAAACGTTAAAGTCTATTACTCTAGCCTTTTCTTTACCGCATTCTCTCTCTTCCAACTGTGTGCCTTCACGGGTTTCTTTTGCTGATTGCGTGCAGGTAGTGCATGACCCGTAGCCAGTTGGGAGATCTACTACCATTGGACCAGGAAATTGAATGAACTTGTCGTAACCTCAAGCGGACTCTAAAGGCACGACTGGCTGCGGAGGAAGATATGGAGAAAATACACATCACTGAGGAGGAAGAAATGGGTGAACCACAGAACAATGATGTGCTCATTCCCGAGGAGCAAACCATGGGCTATTAATGGACCTCCCGCACTACAGACATGAGGTCCCCCATCCAAGACCCTCAAGTTGTTGCCAACAACTTTTAGGTGAGTACCTCTATCATCACCATGCTGCGAGGCTCGGTGGTATTCTGTGGCAAGGAGGGAGAATGCCCCCGATCACACCCGAGGCGGTTCCACGAGCTCATAGATGGGATCAAGATAAATGGGGTCCCAGTCGATGCCATCCAGCTGAGGTACTTCCCATTTATTCTCGAGGGGCAAGCCAAGGAGTGGCTGAACACTAGGCCTCCCAGATCGATCACCACGGATGAAGATGAGACCATCCGGGATGCATGGGATAGATACACCAGTCTCTTCCTGAGGTGTCCCAATCATGGTTTCAATGATGCTTTCAAGGTGGGCACCTTCTACCACGCCCTCTTCCTAGAAGATAAGCAGCTGATTGATTCGGTTTGTGGCGGGAACATGCTGACCAAGACGCCGCCGCAGTTGAATCAGCTCTTTGAGGAGATGGCAGATAAAGGGTATGATTGGGGCACTTCTAGGAGGTCGATGCGAGCACCAAGCCGAGGTGTACATGCTGTGGGCACCCACTCTTCTGATTTGGTTCAGGTTGTGTCTAAACTGGTCTCAGCCATCGATCGGAATGGGATGGTTCCGGGGACAAGGCAGTAGCCGGCAATGTGTTGCCAGTTGTGCGAAAGTGCGCATCATACTGTAGAGGACTGCCAGGCCATGCGTGTGTCTAGTACACCCCGGGAGCAGGTGAACTTCATCAACAATGTCCGGCGCAACGACCCATATAGTAACACCTACAATGAGGGATGGCGCCAGCATCCAAATTTCTCATGGAGTGGCAACATCAATCCAAAGCCACCTGGCTTCCAAGCTCCTGCAACTAGTTTTCCATACCAGAGGCAGTCATACCAGCCTTGCCCAGGCCAGATGCAGCAACAACAACCACTTTATCAGCCCAGACAAGGGCAGGCTTTTCAACAGCCCCCACAGCAGCAGTACCAGCAGCTTGGTGCATCTCCATTAATCTCAGCACCGGGCGATCCCGTGTAAGAACTGAGGGATCTAGTGACTACCTTGGCCAACACTAGTATCCAAAAGTTCAATAAATTGGAGCAATTCATGGAAGTGGCTGCAGGCAAATTCATAGAGATTGAAGCTCGCCAGAGAAACCAGCAGACACTCCTGCAGGATATGGACACCAAGATCGGGCACCTGGCAAATGCCCTTGCTTCCAGATCGGCTTGCACACTTCCTGGCCAACCCCTACCGAATCCCAGAAATCATAAGGAGGGGTTGCACGCCATTATGCTGAGAAGTGGGACTGTGACTGCGGATGCACAGCAGAAGAGTGCCAAGAAGGTGACCCAGATCACTCTTGAGCCGGAAGAAGACCTGGTGATGGAAAAGGAGCCAGAGGATCAAGCTCCAAAGCCACAACCAGTAGTGGCTGAATATAAGCCTAAGCTCCCTTTTCCCACCAGGATTTACAAAGACATGCTAGAGGCAGAGTTCGGCAACTTCTCGTCCATGCTTAGGAAGCTGCATGTTTAAGTGCCCTTCATGGAGGCACTATCTCAGATGCCTAAGTATGCGAAGTTCCTGAAGGAGCTTCTCTCGAAGAAGCGGAGGCTGAGCGAGCTAGCCTCTGTGAAGCTCAGCGAGGGGTGCTCGGCCATTCTGCAGAACAAGCTTCCGCAGAAGCAGAAAGACCCAGGTAGTTTTACTATCCCATGCTCTATAGGTAAATTGCATGTAGAGAGGTCCTTGGCAAATCTAGGTGCTAGTATTAATGTGATACCATATAAATTGTTCAAGAAACTAGGCCTAGGTGAACCCAGTGAAACTAGGATGAGTATTCAACTAGCTGACCGATCTATAGTTCATCCTAGGGGCATAGTGGAAGACCTTCTGGTTAAGGTTGACAGATTCTTTTATCTTGTGGATTTTGTTGTCTTGGACATCAATGAAGACACAGAAGTGCCGCTTATACTAGAAAGGCCTTTCCTGGCCACCGCCAAGGCTCTCATAGATTTTCATGATGGGACCTTAGTCTTGAGGGATGGCGAGGAGCAAATTACATTTTCCATTGATAATACTCTCCCTGCTTCATCGCTTTTGCATGTCGTTTCTCACCAGGAGCACGATTCTGTCTTGTATCCTTCTATGCTCCCCATTTTGCAGGACCCCCCTCCCATACCTTCGCCGCAACTCCCGTCCACTCCGTCACCAAAGGAAAATATCAAGGAGGAGTGACGGCCAAAACTGCAGGTAGCTAAGCCTGCTGAAAAGGAAGCAGGAGACCACTATGAGCTTGTCCTGGCTCCTGAGCCTCGACCGCCTTGGCCATCCGAGTATACACTCGCTTGCATCCTGTCGGATAGCCAGGTCGAGTTGAAGAGTGCTGGTGGTCACACTCGTCGAGCCACCACCTGAAGTTGTACCTCAAGAGCAATGTGGATCCGCTCTTGAAGGCACCTGTTCCTACACCTCTCTGAGCATCCACCCTACTGGCCTCCAGCTAAACAACGGTAAAGAAGCGCTTGTGGGGAGGCAACCCCACCAAGGTTTGTTTTTCTTTCGTTTGTTTTTCGGTTTGTCCACTTGGAACTATGGTTTCTATACCCTAGTGCGTTTTGCTGATGCTAGCCCCGCTGACTGGTCCACTTCCAGTCCCCCGGCAGTCTTTCCTTCCGGTAACATCGTTGCCCTTATCTTTCCCTCTACTCTATTGAGGGCAATGTCGAGCTTAAGTGTGGGAAGGTGCTTTGTATTTGTTGGAATCTATATATGTGTGCTTGGAGCCTAGTCCGCTGTCCAAATCTCGAGATTTGAGGGCTCCAAGTACTAATGTTTGCATTATCATATTGGCACTGTGGATTTGATTGGTGAATCGAATGGCTTTTGAATTGATGCATGACAGCTTGATTGTAACTAGGACAACCTATGATCATGACTGAGACGTGCAGTAGAATTGTGTAGGAGTTCAGTTTTTCAACTGTTTGCTTACCAAATGTGACTTTGATTGATCACTTGTTCTTGATAGTTGTTTATGCATCTAGTTCAGGGAATCAGAATGAGAGATAGAGCATATAGGTAGCCATGTGAGATTTGAGCCTGCTCGTTTCTTTCTTGTGCGATAGATCCCTCTTCCATGATGTGTAGCATTCATGTTGTCACTAGCTAAGATGATGGAGGCATAGGATTAGCCCACGACCAAATTGACTGTCCTGGTGTGTCATACCCCCTAGTCAGCCCCGTCTACAATGGAAAATCTCCCTTTTGCATCTCTTAGAAGGCTCCACAGAGTGGTTGTTGCATGTTCTCTGTTGTTTCTGCTAAATTTAATGTGAGGGTTAGAGGTAATGCTTAAAAATTGGGCATGTGTTTGAAAAATGTGCAGAGGTGGTGGTTCTCTCAAGAAATGAAAAAAATGAAGAAAAAAAAATGAATGAAAGCAAAAGAGAGCCACTACCCAAATTTCTGAATCGTGCTCATTAAGTAGTGTTTCTTAGCAGTCTGGCTTGGAAATACTAACATTTATGTGACCTCCTTCGCTCTTGTGCTCTAGAGAATTTGAGTAATGTAGAATGGCAGAAAGAAAGTTACTGGTTTGATTGGTTGTGAATGTGTTGGGTTTGGAACTATGGAACCTTGTTCTATGAATACTTACACCACCTAAAAGGCTTTTTCCCCATGTCCAAGACCCTAGCCAGTCACTTGAACATGTGTCTAAGACCTCCGGGTTAGTTAGTGGTGACATCCCTTGTGTGAACTCTAACATTTAGAGGCTGCCGTCATGGTGAAGAGACGTTAGGATTTGAGAGAATAAGCATGCACATTTCCTTGTTCTTTATGCTCTTTACCCCGGTGAGGACCTAGATGGCTCGGTTTTGATTCTGATGTCTTGAGTTTGATGCGTGCGATGAATGTCTTTGTCAAGTGGTTGAGTCAAGTCTATGTTGGTTGGTGAACAGAAAGGACTCCTCTTCCTTTACTCGATTTGCTGCACTCGAATGTCCTCTTTAGTGGTTGTCTACGTTGTTGTTGATGTGTCCTTATGTCAATGATCAAAAGCCAGTATGATTCATGTGTTTTGTGCCTTTATGATTTGTCCCCAAAGTTGGTATGATTGAAATATGTTGAGCTTACCTTGTATCTGACTTGGTTTGCTTGGGGACAAGCAAACGTTTAAGTGTGGGGGAATTTGATGACTTGATATATACACATGTTTTTATCCACCATTCTTATTTTGTTTCAGCCTTATTTCTCGTATATTAGGCCGATTTCATGCTAGGTTGTTCTCGTTTGTGTTATTTCAGGTCCTAGTACGTGATTGGAGGTTAGGGAGCGAGTTTTGGGTCGATTGGATGAAAGTTGGACGTCTGGAGAGGAGCTGAGGAATCCACACGGCCAGACCTAGCAGCCACATGGTCGTGTGGTGTGGCCGTGTGGAATCTCATTACGCGGCCAGGCCACACTGGTCGTGTGTTGGACCCCCTGTGGCCGTGTGGAAAGTCCAGGGAGCTCACACGGCCAGACTGGAAATCCACACGGCCGTGTGCTTCTGGCCGTGCAGCGTGCCTGAAGACCAATAAGTGAAACGCGACGTTTTAACACTCACACGGGCAGACTGGAAAGCCACACGGCCGTGTGGCCTGGCCGTGTGGTCAGGAAATTCTGGGTTTCAACCCAATTTCGAGCCAAAGGAGGGGGGATTGATTTTTTGGAGCAAAAACAGAGTCCTAGAGAGAGAAAGTGCGAAGAACACCCCCTAACAGTGGGTTTGACCCAATTTCGAGCCAAAGGAGGGGGGATTGATTTTTTGGAGCAAAAACAGAGCCCTAGAGAGAGAAAGTGCGAAGAACACCCCCTAAGAGTGGGTTTGGAGCAGGGTTTCATCAATCAAGCTTGGAAATCATCCTTGGAGTGAAGATCATCATCCCAAAGCAGATTCTTCCCAACTTGATGAGTATGACTGCTTTGTTTGCTATTTTCCTCTCTCTCTCTCTCTCTCTATGGAGTAGAACCCTCTCTCACTTGGGTATGAAGAACCCTAGTTCTATGTGTTAGGGATCATTGTTGTAACGACGTTTGGATTGTGATATTGTTTGATTATAATCGATTGAAGTGTTTTGATTAAATCAATTGAAGCCTGATCATCTTTTAATTATTTCTACTGCAACCTGAGATAGATAGTATTTGATTAGGTTGTTAGAGCTTCTTCAATCGGTAGTAGTGAATCGATTATACGAGAGTTAGTCGATTCAGTGCTTTGTACTGGAACTTAGTTCCAGTGGTGGAGTTC